GGAAGGCAGGCTACTCCGTGTAGGAGTTCAGGGCCCTGGGGAGCCTCTGTACCCCAGCAGCTGTCAAGGGCTGGCCTCCAGGTCTGTGTTATCTGGCTTCAGACTCCAGTGCACTCCTGTGTTAGTGGGAGGTCTACAGGGTTGTTCGTGAATTATACAAACTGATGAATGTGCATAATAAGTGGCAGCTATCACTATTATTTTAAAGTTAACCATTACAACAATATAAGATCAAAATATATCATTGTATCATTTTGCAGATAATAAATAATTTATTTGTTTTCAAAGACCCAAATATATTTTTGGTTTTTAATGTAGTATAGATAAAGAATCTCATTTTGTTAGCTCTGACCTGGCATCCCAGGCAGCATGTGCTTGAGGTTGTGTCTTTTTTTCTTTAAGGGGGTCCGGGTGTTTTTCTTCCACTTTGAGTTTTTTCAGGAACCTTGTGGTTCACAAAGAAAATTATGTTTCCCAGCTTTGGGATATGGAGACACCCACAGGCCAGCAGCTAGGAGAATGGCTTACAATGAGCAGGTGTAGGCTTGTCTTTCAAATTGTTGGGCTCTTGTGTTGGATAGATTTCTATCTTGGCTTTTTAACACATAGTGATTTTTCTAGTAATTTCTCATATAAACAATTCTGAATTTTGTTTGGCAAAAAATAGTTTTGATCTGTGCCATTGCAGTGAGAGGGCCCGTGGATGTCCTAGCCACCCACTCCCCTCTGAAGGTGTTTTGTATTCATTTGTCACAGCAGCCAGCAGTGGCTCATGGTGAGGCACCTCGGGACCCTCCCTCACATTCTGTAAGGAGGGCCCTGTGACCACATATCTCCCTGATACCAGTGAGAAAAGTGTGAGCCATGCTCACTGTTGCCTGGGATGCGCTTTCTGCACTCTTTGGTTCTATGCTCCCAACCCTGTTCCATGGAGAAGACTGTGTGCAGGGACACTGGCATAATTAGGGGCAAGAGGGCATTGTAGGTGTCTGCATGCGTGGCCTTCCTGGTCATCAGGATTCTGAAGGATGGCATTTGACCAGACCAGGCCTCGAAGGAGAACCCTGAGTGCCTGTCTGGTGAGGCCAAGTCCTGCCAAGCGCCTTGGGGCCCACACCCTCCTGTCACACATGGACCTAGAGCCTTCTCTCTTTTGTTCTCCGCCTGGTTGAGTTAGGGAGCAGGTAGCCCTGAAAACTCTTATTGAAAGTCAGCCTTGCTAGTTTGGCCACGTCTGACTTTATACACACACTCTCTCCTCAGACATTTCTACTGTGGATTGTATCTGTTACCTTTCAAAATTTAATACTTCTTCCACATTGGTATTATTTGCCTTTGCTCTTCCTTTTGCTGGAGTCAGGTTTTACTCCATGTTCTGCCCCTTTTCTTCTCTCTGACATCATACTCTGGGATGGGGGGTGGGCAAGCCAGCACATTCACTAAGAAACGTGGGAGGAAGTCTTTCAGGGACTAGCGTAGTTTGCTGCCTTTGGCATGCTTTCATGCAGAAGCAGCCCCAAGTGTCCCTGGAGGAGCAAGGCTGTGTTGCCACTTTCTGACAAACTGCAAGGCCCACCCTGCCCTGCTGGGCTCCCCTACCACACGTGGACTTGCCAAAGTGCACATGGTCTTCCTGTTGCTCACCTCCTAGATCTTTTCATGTGTGTGCAGCTTCCATCCACAGCCAGCTCTCCCAAGGCTACTTGTGGCACAGTTTGGAATAATGGGTCTCATTTGAAACCAGTGCCTTTACGTGTGCGCGCGTGCACACACGCCTCGATTAGTTCCCTTTTCTCTGAGCCTGAATTTTTATCATCAGAGGCTAATACAGAGGGATGTAAACTCTGTCTGGGTCCGAGGGAGCCTCCTTCCTCAAATAGCCTAGCACTGCACCGTCTCTCCCCCTGGCCAAAAGGAAAGAGGGGAGACGTCTGATTTAAGTACAGTTTTAAGATCTTATCGGTGTGTAAGATGAAATATAAATGTGCATGGAAGAATTCTGAAATCTAATCCATCTGTTCTTCCAAGTATGGCCTTTGTCACTTTCATATAATTGCTGTCTTAAGTTGTTTAGTAATAGAGTTATCCCATTGAAGTATATTGGATTTATTTTAAGATTTGCTGTTGTCAGCTGGGTGTGGTGGCACAGGCCCAATGGCTTGGAAGGCTGAGGCAGGAGGATCGCTAATTCAAAGCCAGCCTCAGCAACTCAGTGAGACCCTGTCTCTAAACAAAATATAAAAAGGGCTGGAGATGTGGCTCAGTGGTTAAGACCCCTGGTTCAATCCCCAGTGCCAAAAAAAAAATGGCTGTTATCAAGAGGCTTTTCAGGGAAAATTTTAGATTTTATAGTATCATTAGAAGGTTCTAGGAGCATCTAGATGACATTATTTTCAGTTTGATCAACTATGTAGAACAAACACTAATACTAGCAAATGTAGGTTCTGTGGGGTTTCTGGTAGCACAGCAGTGGGTCGAGTTCCAGGGTCACTAGAAAAATGTGATTCTGCCACAAAACGGAGGTGGTCAGGTCAGTTTTTTCTCACTGGTTCTCATGATGACATTAGAAAGATTTCAGACACGTCACTCTGAGTAGCAAGCATGAGTTTATTGAAGGGATAGGAAAAGGGGAAAAGGGGACAGATACTCTCAGTGGAGAGGGTGGGTCATCTCAGGGGAAGGACAGTCTCTCCTGCCTTGCCCTCCAGTTTTTGGGGGGGATCCCGGAGCAATTTCCAGACAGTCTTGACTTGAGACTGACAACAGGTTACGTCCCCACTGCGTCCCCACTGCACAGTCCAGCTCTAAGCCACTTTGGCCCAAGCCAGCCAGTTCTAATTGGAACCTGTTCTCACAGGTTTTATGGTAGGGGGAATTATCCTTGTCTTGCTGAGTTCTGGGATCTGATCTGGGTAAAGGTCAGATAAGTCCCCCCTTTTGGCATTTTGGGCCTGCATTTCTCTTGCAGATAGCAGCTTGTTTCCTGAGGAATGTTACCTGTTCTGTTGACTTAAGCCAGGCAATGCTGCAGATAAATCGCTTTTTTACAAGAAAGCTTGTGGGGGCCAGCTAATTATCCCCTAACCCCGTGTTCCCACTGCTCTGTCTGTCTCCTGTCACTCTCACGACTGGTGTACAGCCTTCCTGCCCTCTGTCTGGGGTTCCTGATCCTGGGGGTGGGGGAGTGCTGGTTGCCTCTGTGGTCAGTGAACCTTCCAGACGTGTCTTCACAGCGATTAGAGAATCTTGGCTGTTCTTCATGTCGTCTGTGCTACCATCGTCATGTACTCTTGGTGTGTGGCATGATGAAGGGACTCATCTTCCCGTGTGTCCCCACTGCATGCCTCACAGCACTTATCCAGCTGTTATTTCTCTGACCCTACCCCCAGCAGCACAGTCGCCAGTCGTCGATGGGTCTGCCTCCAGCGCGCTGTCCAGGCCTCTTCACACTCAGCCAATAGAGCTGCTTCCTCTGGCCTTTTTGGTGGTCGGGACCCTCCTTCTCCCGGGGTGCTTGCCCTGGTTTCCATGCCTCCTGGCCGTCACTGGGGGTCCTCTTGTTGGTTCAGTGGCATCTGAGTTCATAGCAACCTTGCACAGAGCAGTGGTTTCCCTGGCAACTCTGGGAACCTGGACACAGAGCAGTCTTTTTGTGTCAAGTGTGTGGTGTCCTTGACTAGAAGGGCTTGTCGTGTGACTGGGATTGAGGAGCTGGAATGAGACTCTGGGGTGTCACCTTGTGGGACAGTGTTCTTGGCTTAAGATGGATGGGATAATCTTCTCATCTATCCTTTTTGTACCTTTATTTAAAAATTAGAACTAAAATGAAGTTGATTAGAAGATAGGAGAATTAATGGGTCTTAAAGTCTGTCCATTTGTCACACAGGTCAGTTAGATAAGCCAGGTCTCAGTGTCCCATGCTGGCATGCCCTGTTGTCAGCACTCTTTTCATGAGGTCATTTGAGTGCTTAGGCCTGCCACAGAGGGACCAAGTGCAGGGGCAAAATGCCCAGAGCTGCCCTGGCCATCCCCACCTGGAGTCACCCTGTCTGCTGGGTCTGCAGCGTGGAGTGGTTCCCTGCCCACCCTGCTCAAGGCCCCTCAGATACCTGCTACCTATAGGACAAAGCTTTTCACTTTGCTGGGCACCATGGTAAACCACCCTACTAGCCTTGTAGTCCACAAGCACAAGTCAGCAGAAAACTAAGAAATGGTGCTTACTCTTCATACTTGTTCTGGTCTGTTCCATTTTCGTTTTGCAACATGCCAATTCAACCCACTATGTGGTTTTACCAGACTACCTCAGGTTCACAACATGGTCTAATAGAGGCTGATAGAGACATCTCCGCTGGGCCTGCCTCGTCCCTCTCCCTACCCTATTTTTTTACTACTTTGCCAAATAAAGCTGTTCCTCAAATAAGTTCCCATTAACCTTCTGTTCTCTAAACTCGCCACGTTCATTGTCTTCTCCTTCCTGTATTGCTCTTCCCGTGCCTTCCTGATGGTCCGCTTGGCAACTTCCCTGGCCCTGGCTGCAGAGTAGACTAGACGCCCTACATGTGTGTCACTACCTTACACTTTTTATTAGTTTTGCTGAGAATATTGAATCTTTTGCTGCCTGAATGTTGTCACTTACATGATGTGATTCCTGGTCTCCCTGCGACAACAGAAGGCTCCTTGGAGGCGAGGACTGCCTTTATTTCCTCTGCACCCTCCATGGTGCCGAGGATGTCACAGGCCATCTTTGTACTGTCTGGTCCCTCCCTGAGAATTCCTTTTCCTTATCAATGGTTGCCACTTGCCCCCTTGAAGCAGGAAGAAATATTCCTGTAATAGAACACAATTCTTTCTAGAGGTAATTTCTGGGGTGGGGTAAAGCATGGGAGGTATTACTGTTGTTATCACAAGTCTGTAGACTTAGTTTGGGCCCTTCTTGTCATCACGAGCTTGTTTGGATGGTGGTTCATGGTAGTCAGTGATGGTGTTCCTTTTACATTCAGCCACATCAGTGGGAACAAGATTGGCTGGGAGAAGACCGGAAGCCACACGGAACCTCAGACGCGGGGAGACCCAGGAGACCAAGCAAAGGTACAAAGTCTGTGCCTTCTTTCTCTAAGTTCTAATTCTGTGTATGTTGTATAAATGGTCAGTTTAAATAAGAATCCTTTTCGTTTGAGCACATAGGTCACATATGTCTTTCAAGAGGGGAGGAGAAGTAATTGTGGAGAGTTACCTCCAGCCTGTCTGTCTCAGCAAGGCGGGGTTACCCAGTGCACCTCTCTTTGCTCTGGGGCATAGTGCCTGAGCCTGCCTGAGTTGCCTGTCTTGGGGGATTTCTGTGAGCACCTGGAATGTGTTCATTACAAATGGAAATAACTGCCAAGTGTGGTGGCACACATCTATAATCCCAGAGACTTGGGAGGCGGAGGCAGAAGGATTACAAGTTCCAGGCCAGCCTCAGCAACTTAGTGGTATCCTAAGCAACTTAATGAGACTCTGTCTCAAATTTAAAAATAAGAAAAAATAAAAAGGGCTGGAGGGGCTGGGGATGTGGCTCAGCGGTAGCGCGCCCGTCTGGCATGCGTGCGGCCCGGGTTCGATCCTCAGCACCACATACCAACAAAGATGTTGTGTCCGCCGAGAGCTAAAATAAATAAATTAATATTTTTTAAAAAAAGGGGGCTGGAGATGGGGCTGGGGTTACAGTTCAGTGGTAGAGCACTTACCTAGCATGTGTCAGCACCACATAAAATAATAAATAAATAGATAAAGCCAAAGAGGAAGAAGCTAACACAGCAAATTAATCATTAAAAAAGAAAGAAAGAAAAAAGGCTGGAGCTGTGACTCAGCCATCAAGTGCCCTGGGTTCGATCCTTGGTGTCCCCTCCCCAGAAGAAAGAAACTCAATTCACTTCTCCCATCTCACTTGTTCCTACTTGTTAATAGTGAACTCTAGAATTTTTTTTTTTTTCAAAGCCACGCCTGCCACCTGTGGGCCCTAGAAGGAGCAGGACTCCTGCTGGAAGAGGGTTGGTTTATATACAGGGCCATCTGAATATCAGAAATCCATTTGAACTCAACTGTTACATAGTCTCAACTGTTGAATGATTGTCCTACAAATAAGTAACAGAATTGCAGTGTGGATACCTGTTATTTTCAAAGCACCTTCCAAAGCATTTTGAGTTGCTCCTGTTTTCTTCTGGAAGAGGGAGAATGTAGAAAACACTCGTGAATTATCCACTAGTTACTCTTCTTAAGACTTATTTTTGCACTTGTGTATTAAAGAGTAAAATTAAGCACTTAATTGCACCCATTTGAAAGACATTTTGTTCCAAAACAGAAAAATTTGTGTCTTTAGGGTGGCATTGAATCAAGTAATAAGCAATTCTCATTTCCAACTTTTATTCTGATCAAAAAAAGAAGTTTATTGTACAAATAATAATTGCTCTTAGGCAGTTATTCAGAAGATACAGATTATGCCAGAGCATCTCCTGCGTCTCGTCGGCACCACCACCTGGCACTAGCCCAGCACTGCATTAATCATCTGGGGTCACAGTGCTTTCCTGTTCTGTGCACACATTCCAGGTTTTGGTGGGTAGTTATTACAAATTGAGTATTTCCCATCTAATAGATTTGAGCCATTGTGTTTGATAGGATTACTTGGGTTTGTTTTGGTTTTGCTTTAATTTTTGCCTGCATGTAATTGAGTTTGGGGTTTTGTTTTCTTTCTCTCTCTTTTTTCTTTTCTTTCTTTCTTTTTTTTTTTTAAAGGTGGGGGTCTCTCTATGTTGTCCAGGCTTGCCCCAAACTCCTGGGCTCAAGTGATCCTCCTGCCTTAGCCTCTGGTGTAGCTGGTACCATAGGCATGTGCCACTATACCCAGTAGGATTCTGTTCTTTAAATACCAGCGATGGCAGTAAAGAGCAAGACTTAAGTCAGGGTTGGATATGAATTCAGTTCTGAATTGTTGGTTGCATATTGGTAGGCAGACTGTGTAGCCTCTCTGAGTGTTAGTTTCTTGCTGTGTAGAAATATTAGCAATTTCTTGAGGACAGCAGGAACACGGAGGACTTGGCCAAGTGGTGATGGGGAGTGAGAGCTGAGTGAGATAGTGAAGCAGTGACAGAGCAGGAGGTCCCAAGAGATGAGCACAGTGGGTGGGGGAGCAACAGTGGCTTCCTGAGCCTCCAGCACCATCCCCCCTCCCCCAGTGCAGAGTCACACAGACACAGAGGAGCTGGGAGCACAGGGCTGTCCTCTGAGGACAGTGGGTGTTAGTGGCATTTGTGTGTGCGAGGCAGTCTAAGGAGAGGATCAGATAAGAGCTCTCTGATTGCTCTGTCTTTAGGTTGGCACTAGATCTGGTCTCTCCGGCTAGGACTCTGTACCCTCCATGGATGTCAGGTAGACAAGCATCTGGAACCCTTGAGAAAGTGGAAATGTGATGCAAACTTGTTCTCTCTCCTGTCCGTCACTCTGTAGGCAGAAGGTTCCTCCACTGCCTCTTCAGGAAGCCAGCTAGTGGAAGGCAAAGGGAGCCAGATGGGCACAGTCCAGCCAATCCCCTGCCTCCTGTCGATGCCCACCAGGAACCACATGGACATCACCACACCTCCCTTGCCCCCCGTCGCACCTGAGGTGCTAAGAGTGGCCGAGCACAGGCACAAGAAGGGGCTGATGTACCCCTACATCTTCCACGTCCTGACGAAGGTATTATCCAGGGGCCCTGGAGTGGCTCCCATTCCTTGACAGGTGTTTTGTACTTTTTCATTTTGGAAACCATTTTTCTTTCTTAGTAAAATATTTGTAATCAGAATTTACGTTCTCCTTTCTAAACATTAAACAAAAGCTGAAAGTTTATGCCTGTAAAGACCTTTTGAAAGTCTTACTTTCTTCTTCAACTTAGTTTAAAATATTTTTCAAATTTCTAATGAAATAATGACACATCACATTGTTTTATTACTGGTAATTATATTGTCCTGATTTCAACTTCAAAATTTCTTCCATATTTGTGCTGTAATGTCAGAATTAATTCTGATGTAAGATATAATGTCTGATTTATTTATTGTTTGTCCTTAGAAAGTAATGTTTCCCCTTTTGAGTAGGTAGTAATAACTTCATGTATTTTGACTTGTTCATCTACTTCATTGAGTGCAGTTTTAATGGTGCTAATAGCATTGTGGAATACAGGATCTTGTTACCATATGCACACTCAGAAAACACAGTGACCTTTTTACACAGCGTCATAATTTCACTTTACTGGTATCTTTCCAACTGCATGATTAAATATGTGCATATAGTGTGGCATTGTTTTTTAATCTGGGTGTTTCCAGTGCATCTATGTGTATTTAAATCTCTTCAGTGATCTGTAGTCTTTATGTTGGCATTTGTAATCATGGGCCCACAATTTAACAAGTTACTTAAGTGACCAGTTATCATGCAGAATTGGTTTGTTACTATCATGTATTATTTATGTGCTTTCCTCAATACTTGTGCCACTATATATAATCAGGCTTTTCTGGTTTTTGCAATTCATCTGTGGTTTGTGAAATGGAGTCAGTAAGTATAAAAGACTCCTACTCCACAGTACTCATGAGGTAGACTGTTGATGGACTAGTCCAAACATTGCTTACTTTTATAAATTAAAAAGGACATGAATATTTAGCTAGTAATATTTACTTGGTTCATTTATTTTTTAGTTGTAATTGCCTCCAAACTCATCTTACTGTTTGATATTAATATGCATGAATAGTATCACTTTCAGGTTGTGGTTGTAAGGTAAATATTATTTTGGGGTTCAATGTAAATTATAAAGGGTAAGTGAAAGTTACTTTGTGGGAAAAGGATTTTGCTAAGTTTAAGGGACCACAGTTTGGGGAAATAACATGTAAAAAGATGGCACAGTTTCCCTGTGGGGCTCTTGGAGATGTAGGGTACCCTGGAGCCATCTGCTGCACCCTCCCTATGGGATCTGAGCCCTGTCCCCAACAGTTACTCAGATCCACATGAGGGATGCAGACTCTAGCTGACACTCTTTGGTTCTCACAAATTTCAAGGGGGAAATGTTGACATAATGACTTTGAGAAAAGTAAACCTGTCTTTTTAGATTTTAGAATGTTCAGCTTTTAAGTATCCTAGGGAATAGTATAGTGCATACTATTTCTTATGAGCTGAATAGCTCTGGCATTAAATTGTACAGGCTAAGATGTGTAGCTTCAGGTATGAAGCTTCATGATAGTACAGAGAATTGTCAAAGCGTCATAATCCTAAGAGATGAGAGTGTTAGAATACACATAGTTACTGGATTTAGAAAAAGAGTTAGAATACACATAGCTACTGGATGAATGAATATGAGAGTAGTGGATGAAAAGGGAATGACCAGTTTTGAAATTAAATTTTTATGAAAGAAAATGTTATAAAATTATTAAGGCAATAAATTTAACAGACATTGAAGATATCAAATATATTTTAATGTTATGAATATACATAAATAAAATTTCTCCACAAAATATTCTGAGATATATTTTGGTGTCATAAAATGCCCCAGACAGGACCACAGAATTTTGGCAACAGTCTGGGTTGCTGAAGGCCACACAGTGGCCTTTTGCCTCTGGGAGGCATGTTCTTGAGTCACGAGATTAACTGGAACTTGAGTGAGGTGGGGTGCTTTGATCCTTTGCCCTAGTAGCTGCTCATGACCTCACTCACAATGAGATGCTCTTTGAGCACCTATCACACTAATGCAGAGACCTAGTACATTTGTAAAATGGAGCATTCTCTTAGGTAGAATATTTTTAATATGTGGTCATTTTTAATGAAAGAGCCTAATTAAAAATATATGACCACTTCATTTTCAGAATACTTAATTCCTTGGATTGCATCAGGTCTTTGAAAATTATAAATTTTATTATACTATGACCATCTTAATCCCTTAAATAAAAAAGTTCCAAGTTCTCAACATTTTCTATTCTATTTGTTGTCTGGTGTGATCTGTCTAGGTTGTTTCAAAGACTTTGGATTTTCTACGTGTTTTGTTATTAGTTTTGGATTAAGTATAAAGTAGTGTAGGGTCTGTTTTGAGGCTTTGAGCATACATTTAGACACAGACTGCCAAATTAACTCTTCTGTACGTCGTGGGGTAGGCCAGTTGTTAAGCCTTTGATTTGGAATAGAATTGCAATGTCATTAATGGAGATAATACAATATGTTTCTGTGAGTTGATTATAAATTCAACATGAAAAATGTGCAATATTATTCTGCTTTCTTCCATGCAAAGGGTGAAATCAAAATTGCTGTTTCTATTGAAGATGAAGCCAACAAAGACCTGCCTCCGGCTGCCCTGCTCTATAGGCCAGTTCGTCAGTATGTTTACGGAGTCCTGTTTAGTTTGGCAGAAAGCAGAAAGAAAACTGAGAGACTTGCTTTTAGAAAGAACAGACTTCCACCAGAATGTATGTACTGTAACAATCCATTGTTTGTTTTCCTCGGTACCTCGTAATCTCTTGTGCATTTTCTAAAGTCTTAGAAGAATCCTGACTGAGTTGACCCAAGAGTCTGCGTGTACAGGAGGTGGGCCGGGCTGCCCACTGGGCAGTAGGCCAGGGTAGAGCCCTGAGGACAGGAGGAGAAGCCAGACTTTCCTCAGTAATGTTCCAGTAATGGTGCTTATTCAGTAAAATAATAAAACCGCAGGTTTACACTTTAAACTGAATGTTGATCTGGAAGCACTCTTGAATGGCCGTCACTCTCTGTAATTACCCGTCTTAGTAACCGGGACACTTGTGTGTCTGCTGTGGTGTTGACAAGGTGCAGATCTGCTCTCCCCAGCAGGCTGGCGTCTGGAGACAGGTCCTGCAGGGCTCTGCATCCATGGCAGAGGTTGTGGGACTTGAGTGGGTCGTCCCAGGATTGCGCTGATTTACTTCAGAGCCCTCGAGAGGCGGTGTGCTTCCAGCTGATCGACTGGGGCTGCTGGAAAGTATTAACTTGAAACTCTGATCAAAGTTGAGGTCAAAAGCATTTTCTTTTATCTTCTAGTGGGTTTATGTCATATTTTTAAGAAAATAGAGCCTTCCTACTCTCAGTAATTTGATCTCCTGATGTAAGCAGTTTAAAAACCAGTGTATGTTTACTAGGAAATAGAAAATATCCCCAAAACATACAGTCTAAAATAAGAATATTATGAGTTGTGGAAATTGTAAATTACCACATCATTCTTTTTAAAGGAAGAACGTTTGGTTACAGAGTTCCTGCTGTGTGGTGGGGAAATGCAGGCCTCATTAGAGGTGAAACTCATGATCAGTACTGACTGTGTAGTTCTGAGTTTCAGAACTTAGTTTAAAGTTAAGTAGATTCTTCAATTTTCTGTTTGCAGTTTCTGTGCCAGAATGGTGATCCGTAAGGCTTTAAACCAAGCACCTGTCACTCCTTCCTTGGAGACAGTTGTCCTGCGAGCCACTGCTGAGTTGCTTGTGTGAGCAGAGCTGATAGAAGGTGATGCTGGCCCCACAGGGTCGCTACCTTCCACCTCTGTCCTTGATGGATAGGAACACTGAGTGTTAGAAATGGCATCTTCTCAAAGACGTGGCTCTCTTACATGAATACATTCTCATTCTTTCCTCATACCGTGTTTCATTTGCTCAGAAAAAAATGGCATTTCTCACTTTGTAGCCTGGCTTGGGTTGGTGGCTAATAACGCCCAGCCTTCGATCCTGGGAAAAACTGTTTTGTGGTAGAAAGTATTTGGCTTATTTGGTTAAGTGTTCCAAAACTAGACTTACCTTTCCACAGCAGGCTCCTCGAGGAATTTCCAGTGATCACCTGTGCCATCCCATGGAGGCCAACTTGACTGTCCCCTTTCCCTCTGGCCTCAGAATGTTTGGCTTCGTGTGTACTGCATTGCCAGATACTTTCAGAGAGTAGTCTTAACACCTTGTGCCCTGCTGTGGGTGTGCGACCAGCACGTGTGCACACACAGCTGACCCGTGCCTGGGTCTGGAGTGCTAACAGGCAGTGGGGCCAAACCTTCTCAAGGGCTGAAGTGTGCTGAGCACACAGGGAGGGGAGTCGTCGGGCAGAGCCTTGGCCCCAGAGGTGCTTGACTGCTCCCACCCCTGTTCCATGCAGGCCAACCCCAGCCAGGGTCAGAAGTTGTGAGAATGAGCCATCAGAGGAAGGAAGGACCAGGAGGAGAAGTCTGGGGTGACTCAGGCAGGCATGCAAGACCTCAGGTGGGGGTGCGGTAGACCTAGTGGAGGAGGAAAGGGACTTGGGAGGAGAGTGCAGAAGGGCGGAGATACTCTTATCTCCAAATGCAGGTAAGATAGGCSGGGCTGCTCTGAAAAGCTCTGCTTTTCAGAGCTGGGTTGGTCTGGTCCCTCCCCCCACCTCTTCTCTACCCTATCCCTCCTTCCTCTCTTCACCTCCTCCTCCTTGGTAAGGATGGGAAGTTAAAGTTTGATTATTATTGTGGTATTTGATCAGTGGAAAGGACTGGGGGAGAGAGTAGGTGAATGTGCCAGGGAGAATAGGAGAAAATTACGAAAGTTATGGATAAGGAGTGGATGTTCGTGGAGCTTAGGTGGGAGGGAGGAAGAGGGAGGAGTGCAGGCTCTGGGGCTGCCATTCTGGGTGAGGGAAGGGAAAATGGGGGGTGAGGCTGTCTCAGGCCTGCTTTGGAGAAGGTAGCCACTTAGCAGTGTGCAAAAGGATGAGACCCAGCTGGGTCACACCAGGATCATGGAGGAGTGAGGACTCCACCTGCCAGATTCATCAGACTTTAAAAGTGATTTTTAAAACACATCCATTATTATTGGAGTATCTAGCAGGTTATTAAAACAAAGGGTGAATAATTGCTATAGGGACATGGCTGTGGTTTAATGGAGGTGAAGATCTGAAATTTGGAACATTAGAAAATTAAATTCGCATGTGAGAGAGTACATAGATGTGGTGAGGTCCTTCTAAGGGTTGGTGCTGAACAAATCATTTTTTGCTAGGGTGATTTAGGGACTCCAGTTTTGACTCTTCATAGAGATGAGGGAGCCACTGGAGGTTTGGTACGAGTGATATTGCTACTTAGCAAGGTGAGTTGCCAGCTATGTACAGACTGACCTGAAAAAGACAGGTCTGTACATGGGAAGGAAAGGGCTCATTCAGGTGGACTTTGCCTAGGCTGAGTTAATTAAAGCCCTTAGAATTTAAGTGTTGGGAGAAATGTATTCATGATGTGCTGTTACAAATAAAAACTTGCTTCTCAGTGGAAATGATGAGTAAACTTGACCCGAGTTTCAGTGTGAGAGATCTTAGGCAGCAGCTTAGGAATCTTGATCTTCATGGGGAGCTCCTTCATCCATTACTTACGTTCATGAGGGGCAAACAGCCTGTAAAAGGGATTTTATGGCAGTAATCCACCCCCACCCGTGAGTACCCTAGCTGACCCCAGCTCTCCACAGGGAGATTTTCATGCTGAGAATCTCTTGTGAGTGCTGTGTTTGAATGCTGTTTGTGAGTGGCATCTACTAATGCTCACTGTGGTGTGAGCACTAAGATGCCTGCCTCCACCTGCTCATCACATTGCGGCTGACTGAATACTGGCTGCTCAGACCATCAGTTTAGGCTTCATCACTTGAAATATCTATTAATCGATCACACATTTTGCTGGTAGTAGGGAGAGGGCTGTAGCTTGTTGATGCTCTGAGTGAGACAGGAGAAGGCTTGATCATGCTCCAGTGAAGCCGGACTTAGGAAGGTTCCCAGGAATTCGTGGTGACTGGTGGGTCATGATGGCATTGCCACCTGTTGACATTCACAGTCTAACCTGGGGTCACTCCTGGACTACATGCAGATTGTACTACATCACTGGCTCATGGAAGAAGAGCCATAGGCCACAGAGGGCAGGCTCCTGAGAAGGCTTGTTCTTTCTATGGGCTCCAGAAGGAGCCTTCCGCTCAGACAGCTTTGGTGGCCATTTCTGAGGCAGGGATCTGAGAATTGTGCTGTAGAGATGTATGTTCCAGTTCACGGTCACCATTATGAAAATAATATTTCAAGAGGGCTTTATTATCCGAGAAAACTATTCAAAGGGTATATTAAAGTCGTAAAGGGTTGTTTAAAAGTATTTAACTCTCATTTAATGTAAGGCATGAGTTCATGTAGAAACCAAGTCTTGATTGAGGCAGGTGATCAATGTTCACAGTTTTCATGTGACTTACCTAGCCATCATTTAAGTTGCTGTACGGTGGAAATAGGATGTCAGACCCTTTAAGAATTATAGCCTTGGAAAGTCTGGAGTATTGTTTTCCACTCCTCTGTGTTCATCCCTAGGTTCTGTCAGGAAATGCATCAAACCTTTGCCAGTAGTGGCACCACTAACCGACCCAGGGCAGGACCAGGAGCATCTGTGGTTGGGGAGGCCGGAGCCCAGAGGCCTGTTTCTCTTGCTGCTGGAGACAGGGCAAGGCTCTGGAGCCAGGCTCCTGACTGGAGGCTTCACCCTGTGGAAGTGCTGAGGCTCTGGCAAGTTCCTAGGGCCACCTGTGGAGCAGGTGGTCCTGGCTCCCCCTCTTCCTCCTGGCCTCCCTCCTCAGGTGCGCTGGGCCACCCTCAATGAGTGATTCTTCCCAAGGGCCAGGGGAGGGGCTGCAATGATTTGAGGATGAGCAAGGCCTAAGTTTTAAAAGGATATATAGTGCATTGTGTGGAGCCTCAGTTACAATAAGAGTGAAGAATTCATGGTGTAAAGTTCAGTGATCAACTTTTTTTTTAATTAACATTCAGTTAATAACAAAAGTGGCTCACTTTGCATTTCCCATAACAAGTCTTTGTCATTATCTCGAAACTAAGTAAGTAAAAGAAACAGACTTAGGGGCTGGGGATGTGGCTCTAGCAGTAGCGCACTCACCTGGCATGCGTGCGGCCCGGGTTCGATCCTCAGCACCACATACAAACAAAGATGTTGTGTCCGCCGATAACTAAAAAATAAATATTAGAAAAAAAAAATTCTCACTCTCTCTTAAAAAAAAAAAAAAGAAACAGGCTTATAAAATAGGTGGAAGTAAATTATAAACTCATGATAAATTTATAGAACCTAGGGAGCAGTTTTCTAGACTGTATTATTTTATAAAGGATTTCCCTATATAGCTTGAGTGTTTCCTTTATTTAAAATAAAGGACCAAAAATGTTTCATATTTCAGAGTTTTTTGGATTTTTAGAATATTTGCATAAACTTTGCTGATCAAGCATCCTTTATCCCAAAACCCTAAATCTGAAATGCTCCAAGATCTGCAACATTTTGAGGTGGGGGCCTGGAGGACTAGGGGATAGATCGAGGTCCTACAACATCACAGCGTACCTAAACACATGCTCTGCCACTGAGCTACTTCCCAAACCCAAAACTTTGTGACTGTATGTTGGAACTCAAAGGTTTTGAATTTCTGAGCATTTTGAATTTCAC